CCTCAGCCTCCCCCAAGTAGCTGGGATTGTAAGCACATGACACTATGCCTGGCTAATTTTTGTATTTTCAGTAGAGACAGGGTTTCCCCATGTTGGCCAGGCTGATCTGGAACTCCTGACCTCAGGGGATCCACTTGCCTTGGCCTCCCGAAGTGTTAGGATTATAGGCATGAACCACTGTGCTCGGCCTGGGCAGATGCTTAAATGTGAAAATTTTAGACCTTCTTGCACCTTGGGAATCATCAGTAGATAGGAATAACTGAAGTGATCGTTCTCCAACATGTACTTCTGTTGGCCAATGCCTTACTTCCCCCCACATTCATTTTAAAGTTCTTTTCTCTGCCTTTGAAACTTAAATATTCCTCAGAGTTTTTTTAGTACTCTTCTCTTTTTGATTTTCACTTTTACATTAAGATCACTTCAGTTATTCCTATCTACTGATGATTCCTAAGTCTCTTTTTTGCCTTGTGTGTGGAGCTCTAGGTGTTTATTATTGCCTATGCACATGTCCACCAGACTGTTCCCCAAATATTAAGTTTTAAAATTTTCAAATTGTACTTACCCTCTCACTGTGGTCTTCCTTCCAATATTTCCTGGAATATATTCCACAATATATTCCATTGCTGTGTTAAGCCCTTCTGTTCATAATTGTATTTATTCTACAGAGTTGTCTTACAGGTCTTACTGATCCTTCTTTTAGAGATAAAACAATTTATGTAGTTTAAACATTTACCACCAAATCACACTATTAGTATGGGATAGTGCTGGGACATAAACCCAGATCTATAGATTCTGTATTTTTTACTGCAGTTATTATAATGCCAGCCACTTCTGTGACTTTAATCTAAAAAATATTAAGGGTGTACCTATAGGTGTAATTAAAATAATATTTATTGCAGAGTTTTTCTTAAAAAAAAAAAGAAATCTCCAACAGTAGGAATTCCTATTTAGCCCATTAAAGAATATTCATAAAGAATATCATGTGGCCAGTATGCATCATATTTTTGACCAGTAATTTTTTATTTCGTATAAACAGATCACATATGGAAACCCAATGTGAGAAATAGATTAAGAAAAACTAGTGCTTGACCACATGTTTTCACTCATAAGTAGGTGTTGGACAATGAGAACATAGACACAGGGAGGGGAACATCACACACTGGGACCTGTTGGGGAGTGGGGGCCTAGGGGAGGGATAGCAGGCAGTCGAGGGCTAGGGGAAGGATAGCAGGGGGTGGGGGGCTAGGAGAGGGATAGCAAGGGATGGGGGGCTAGGGGAGGGATAGCAGGGGATGGGGGCTAGGGGAGGGATAGCAGGGGATGGGGGGCTAGGGGAGGGATAGCAGGGAGTTGGAGGCTAGGGGAGGGATAGCAAGGGATGGGGGGGATAGAGGAGGGATAGCATTAGGAGAAATACCTAATGTAGATGACGGGGTGATGGATGCAGCAAACCACCATGGCACGTGTATACCTATGTAACAAACCTGCACATACTGCACATGTACCCCAGAACTTAAAGTTAAAAAAAAAAAAAGAAAAAATGCTTGAAAGGGAGGGAATCTCCAGAGTATTTCATGGACAGGTATCTGCTATGGTTTTTGAGGAGAATTAGGAAAATATTCATAGTACCATAAGTGAAAAAAATACAATTAATAAAACAATATCCATAGTGTGCCCCCAATTTTGAATGTGCAGTTGGCTAAAAATGTATTTGAGTGGGCAGTTGGCTCTCCGTTTCCATGGGTTCTACATCCATGGATTCAATCAACTACAGAGTGAAAATATTTGGGGAAAGAAATCATCTGTAGTGAACATGTACAAACTATTTTTCTTGTCATTCTTGAAACAATACAGCGTAACCACTATTTACATAGCATTTACATTGTGTTATATATTATAAGCAATCAAGAGATGTTTTAAAGTATTTGGGAGGATGTGTGTAGTTTATATGCAAATACTACATCATTTTACATAAGGAACTTGAGCATCCTCAGATTCTGGTATCTGCAGGGAGTCCTGGAACCAACCCCCGTGGATACCAAGGGACAACTCTATACATTGCTAAAAGACTGGAAAGTTACGCATCAAAGTATGAACACTAGTTATTCCTAAATTTGAGGATTATTTATAATGTTTATTTTCCCCACATTTTCTACAAGGAACAAGAATTAGTTTTTTAAATAGAGAGTATAAAGCAAAACTCCTGAACATTATTTAAAAAGGTAATAAATGCAAAACACCCCTCAAAACATAACACATATCATTGAATACACATAGTATACACACATACACTCTCATATACAAAGTAAAAGAAAACTAGTGACTGTTGCTCCATGAACATTGGCTTTTGAAGCTCTGGAATACCTATATAGGTAAGGGGCTGTACTCTACTCTTTGAACATCAACCTTGGATGGATATTGATGCTGTTTTCAGTAGGGGTTTAGAATGTGGAATTTAGAAACTGTTGGGTTTGAATCCTAGCTTTGCTATTATTTATTGTTTTATCTTGGGCAAGTCGCTTAACAGTTTCTAAGTTTTCTCCATTTGTGAAATTATATGTACCGTATAGGGAGGTTAGGATTAAATTAGTTAACTCAATAACATGCTTACATGTCACAGCAAGCCTGGCACTTATAAGTGATCAATATTAGTTGTTTTGGTTATTTTTCCTGTCTTTTATTTTCCCTCTAAACTCTGTCTCCCTTTTCCTTCCCCAAAGTTAGCTGGAAATTCCAGAACTTTAGATGAAAAGTCAAGTTTTTTTTTTTTTTTTTTTTTTTTTTTTTGAGACAGTCTTGCTCCATCGCCAGGTGCCAGGCTGGAGTGCAGTGGTGAGATCTTGGCTCACTGCAACCTCCGTCTCCCAGGTTCAAGCAATTCTCCTGCCTCAGCCTCCTGAGTAGCTGAGACTACAGGCTTGCGCAGCTAATTTTTGTATTTTTAGTAGAGATGGGTTTCACCATGTTGGCCAGGATGGTCTCGATCTCTTGACCTCATGAACTACTCGCCTCGGCTTCCCAAGGAAAGTCAAGTTTTTATTCAGATTCGGTTTCCCAAAGAGGTCATTGGTCAATGTGGTGCATACTTCTTCCTACTAAAATTTAATAGCAAATATATCTGATTTTGTAAATATTTGTATGTTTTTATGGTAGGATTTCTAACCAGCAATTATCCACTGTCAGTGATTCACTAGAAGGATTTACAAGACTCAGCACATGGTTGTACTTATGGCTGTGATTTATTACAGCAAAAGGATACAAAACAAAATCAATGAGGGGAAAAGGCACATGGGGTAAAGTCCAGAGTAAATCAGTGTATTCTTCTAAGGGTCTTTTCCCAGTGGAGTTAGACAGGATATATTTAATTCCTCCAGCAAGATGTGACAACACATGTAAAATACCTACCGGGGAAGCTTATTAGAGACTCTGTGCACAGAGTTTATATTAGGAATTGTTCCTATAGACACTCTCTGCCTAGCATGTACAAAATTCTAGGTACTCAGAAGGAAAACAGGTGTTCAGCACAAACCACCTTGTTTGTAAAGTGTAGGCACACTGAGCTGTTCTTACTAGGAAATGGTGGAAACTGTCCTGAAATCTAAATTTCTAGATGTCAGCCAGGAGCCAGCCTTGCAAGCAGACCTTTCTAGGGATAGCAATCTCAAGCCTGCTCTCTTAAACTCTTTTCTGTAATGTTATGAAATCTATTTTATTTAAGAAATGAATGGCAACAAATCTAGACATTTTAAAAAAGCTTTATTGAGATACAATTCTCACACTGTAAAATTCAACCAATTAAAGTTTACAGTACAGTGATTTTTAGCATATTTATAGAGTTGTGCAACCATCACCACAGTCTGATGTTAGAACATTTTCATCATCTCTCCCCCAATAACCTTACTCCTTAGCGTCATTCCTCATTCCCACTTTTCCACTCCCTCAGGCTTTTCCCCCATGCCCTGCCAATCCCTAGGCAACCACTGATTTACTTTCTGTCATTAAGGGACAAATCTATTCTTTTAACATGTTGTCATTTTAATTTTTATCTCTGATATTAATGGCTTTGTAAATGATAACTTAACATTTATTTACAGATATTTTACTTCCAGTGTCTTAGTGAACGTTTTCAGAGTTTGAGTCTGTATGACAGTTTCTACATCCCGAGCACTTATCCATACTAACCATCATCAAAATGAATATTACATGAGTGTGGGATATTTAATGAAATAATTCATTATAAAAGCCATTGTTTCTGTAATGTTTGTTCTTACTTGTTTAAAAGTACATAATACAATTGATTGAGGCTTACCAATAAGAATTTTTATATTTATGGGTCAACATTTAGTCTTTTCATGGTATCTTTTTGCTAAAATAGAGAAGTATTCACTATTCATAGTGAATAGGGTGAAGTTGGGAGAGGTAGTTACACTGTTGCCATTCAGATGTAGAGAGAGAAAAAGTGTAGATTGTTAGGAGCTAATGAACAAAAAGTATTCCTTTATAATAAGTGGCTATTAATTTTTTGACATTTTCTGTTGTGGGTACAATATACAATAGCAAATGAAAAGCAAATTTACATGTGAATTTATTTATATTAAACCAGAAGCTAAGCATTTATTGTAGAAAAATTTCTATTTTAAAGCAAAAGTTCTAGTATGTGTGTTTTAAACCATTATTTTGGTTGAAATCTAGTTTCTCTGAAAATTGAGTTAGTAACACAAGCTGTACTGTAAACTGAGCACTATGGGAGGATGTTTGTTTTGTGATTAAAACACAGAACTTTGTCACCATGAGTTATATAGGTACTGACTAAATGTGGGTGTTTACCTAAATGTCCAAATCTGTGTAAGTTCTTGTGCTTTTGAAATTAAAGCTTTAATTTTAATACGTGTTTGTAATTAAAAGGGATATTTTTGGACATTGGGAATTAATATATCAAATGATCTGATCCCTGGGACAAAGCACCAGCTCTCATTGTTACTTACATCCTTGTCTTCCAGGTGATTTTACAGCGAGATGCTGCTCTCCATAGGGATGCTCATGCTGTCAGCCACACAAGTCTACACCATCTTGACTGTCCAGCTCTTTGCATTCTTAAACCTACTACCTGTAGAAGCAGACATTTTAGCAGTAAGTACAGTAAAATTTATTAATGTCTAGAAACATCCCTTAAAGAAAAGCTTTAAAAAAAGCCCCGAATGATAGAATCTTACGACATTTTAATCTAAAAACATACCCCAACACTTTCATACAGTTACAGTTACTTGACATTGGGGTACCTTATTCTTTTTTTTTTTTTTTTGAGATGGATTTTCATTCTTGTTGCCCAGGCTGGAGTGCAGTGGCATGGTCCTGGCTCACTGCAACCTCTGCCTCCCGGGTTTAAGCAGTTCTTCTGCCTCAGCCTCCTGAGTAGCTGGGATTACAGGCTTGTGCCACCATGCCTCACTAATTTTTTTGTATTTTTAGTAGAGACAGGGTTTTACCGTGTTGACCAGGCTGACCTCAAACTCCTGATCTCAGGTGATCCACCCAATTCGGCCTCCCAAAGTGCTGGGATTACAGGCATGTGCCACCACGCCTGACTAAATTTTTTGTATTTTTAGTAGAGACAGGATTTTACCATATTGGTCAGGCTGGTCTTGAACTCCTGGCCTTAGGTGATCTGCCTGCCTTGGCCTCCCAAAGTGCTGGGATTACAGGTGTGAGCCATCACGCCTGGCCCCTTGTTCATTTTTTTTTTTAATTTTTATTTATTTTTTATTATTTATTTATTTTTTTCATTGCATTTTAGGTTTTGGGGTACATGTGAAGAACATGCAAGATTGTTGCATAGGTACACACATGGCAGTGTGATTTGCTGCCTTCCTTCCCCTCACCTGTATCTGTCATTTCTCCCCATGCTATCTCTTCCCACCTCCCCACCTCCCCGTTCCTCCCCCATTTACCCACAATGGACCCCAGCGTGTAGTGCTCCCCTCCCTGTGTCCATGTGTTCTCATTGTTCAACACCCGCCTATGAGTGAGAACATGTGGTGTTTGATTTTCTGCTCTTGTGTTAGTTTGCTGAGAATGATGGTTTCCAGGTTCATCCATGTCCCTACAAAGGACACAAACGCATCGTTTTTGATGGCTGCGTAATATTCCATGGTGTATATGTACCACATTTTCCCTATCCAGTCTATCATCAGTGGGCATTTGGGTTGGTTCCAGGTCTTTGCTATTGTAAACAGTGCTACAATGAACATTCGTGTGCACCTGTCCTTATAGTAGAATGATTTATAATCCTTTGGATATATACCCAGTAATGGGATTGCTGGATCAAATGGGATTTCTATTTTTAGGTCATTGAGGAATTGCCACACTGTCTTCCACAATGGTTGGATTAATTTACACTCCCACCAACAGTGTAAAAGTGTTCCTATTTCTCCATATCCTCTCCAGCATCTGTTGTTTTCAGATTTTTTAATGATCGCCATTCTAACTGGTGTGAGATGGTATCTCAATGTGGTTTTGAATTGCATTTCTCTAATGACCAGTGATGATGAGCATTTTTCATATGTTTGTTGGCCTCCTGTATGTCTTCTCTTGTAAAGTGTCTGTTCATATCCTTTGCCCATTTTTGAATGGGCTTGTTTGTTTTTTTCTTGTAGATCTGTTTTAGTTCTTTGTAAATTCTGGATATCAGCCCCTTGACAGATGGGTAGACTGCAAAAATTTTTTCCCATTCTGTTGGTTGCCGATTCACTCTACTGACTGTTTCTTTTGCCGTGCAGAAGTTGTAGAGTTTGATTAGGTCCCATTTGTCTATTTTGGCTTTTGTTGCCATTGCTTTTGGCATTGTGGTCATGAAGTCCTTGCCTACGCCTATGTCCTGAATGGTTTTGCCTAGATTTTCTTCTAGAGTTTTTTTGGTGTTATGTCTGATGTTTAAGTCTTTAATCCATCTGGAGTTAATTTTGGTGTAAGGTGTCAGGAAGGGGTCCTGTTTCTGCTTTCTGCACATGGCTAGCCAGTTTTCCCAACACCATTTATTAAACAGGGAATCATTTCCCCATTGCTTGTTTTTGTCAGGTCTGTCGAAGATCGGATGGTTGTAGATATGTTGTATTTCCTCTGAGGCCTCTGTTCTGTTCCATTGGTCTATATCTCTGTTTTGGTACCAGTACCATGCTGTTTTGATTACTGTAGCCTTGTAGTATAGTTTGAAGTCCGGTAGTGTGATACCTCCTGCTTTGTTCTTTTTGCTTAGAATTGACTTGGCTATGCGGCCTCTCTTTTGGTTCCATATGAAGTTTAAGGTGTTTTTTTCAGTTCTGTGAAGAAGGTCATTGGTAGCTTGATGGGAATAGCATTGAATTTGTAAATTACTTTGGGCAGTATGGCCATTTTCATGATGTTGATTCTTCCTAACCATGAACATGGAATGTTTCTCCATCTGTTTGTGTCCTCTCTTATTTTGTTGAGCAGTGGCTTGTAGTTCTCCTTGAAGAAGTCCTTTACGTTCCTTGTTAGTTGTATTCCTAGGTATTTTATTCTCTTTGTGGCAATTGCGAATGGCAGTTCGTTCTTGATTTGGCTCTCTTTAAGTCTGTTACTGGTGTATAGGAATGCTTGTGATTTTTGCACGTTGATTTTGTATCCTGAGACTTTGCTGAAGTTGTTTATCAGTTTCAGGAGATTTTGGGCTGAGATGATGGGGTCTTCTAGATATACAGTCATGTCATCTGCAAATAGAGACAATTTGATTTCCTCCTTTCCAATTTAAATACCCTTTCTTTCTTTTTCTTGCCTGATTGCTCTGGCTAGAACTTCCAGTACTATATTGAATAGGAGTGGTGAGAGAGGGCATCCTTGTCTAGTGCCAGATTTCAAAGGGAATGCTTCCAGTTTTTGCCCATTCAGTATGATATTGGCTGTTGGTTTGTCATAAATAGCTTTTATTATTTTGAGATACGTTCCATCAGTACCTAGTTTATTGAGGTTTTTTGGCATAAAGGGCTATTGAATTTTGTCAGAGGCCTTCTCTGCATCATTTGAGATAATCATGTGGTTTTTGTCTTTGGTTCTGTTTATGTGGTGAATTATGTTTATGGACTTGTGTATGTTGAACCAGCCTTGCATCCCTGGGATGAATCCTACTTGATCATGGTGGATGAGCTTTTTGATATGCTGTTGCAGTCAGCTTGCCAGTATTTTATTGAAGATTTTTGCATCTATGTTCATCATGGATATTGGCCTGAAGTTTTCTTTTCTTGTTGAGTCTCTGCCGGGTTTTGGTATCAGGATGATGTTTGTCTCATAAAATGATTTGGGAAGGATTCCCTCTTTTTGGATTGTCTGGAATAGCTTCAGAAGGAATGGTAGCAGCTCCTCTTTGTATGTCTGGTAGAATTCGGCTGTGAACCCATCTGGACCTGGGCTTTTTTTGGGTGGTAGGCTCTTAATTGCTGCCTCGACTTCAGATCTTGTTATTGGTCTATTCAGGGTTTCGGCTTCTTCTGGGTTTAGGCTTGGGAGGATACAGGTGTCCAGGAATTTATCCATTTCTTCCAGATTTACTAGTTTATGTGCATAGAGTTGTTTGTAATAATCTCTGATGATGGTTTGGATTTCTGTGGAATCTGTGGTGATATCCCCTTTATTTTTTATTGCATCAATTTGGTTATTCTCTCTTTTTTATTAATCTGGCTAGTGGTCTATTTTGTTGATGTTTTCGAAAAACCAGCTCCTGGATTTATTGATTTTTTGAAGAGTTTTTTGTGTCTCTATTTCCTTCAGTTCTGCTCTGATCTTAGTTATTTCCTGTCTTCTGCTAGGTTTTGAGTTTTTTTGATCTTGCTCCTCTAGCTCTTTCAATTTTGATGATAGGGTGTCAGTTTTAGATCTCTCCTTTCTTCTCATGTGGGCACTCATTGCTATATATTTTCCTCTAGAGACTGCTTTAAATGTGTCCCAGAGATTCTGGTATGTGTGTCTTCGTTCTTGTTGGTTTCGAAGAACATCTTTATTTCTGCCTTCATTTCATTGTTTATCCAGTCAACATTCAAGAGCAAGTTGTTCAGTTTCCATGAAGCTGTGTGGTTCTGAGTTAGTTTCTGCATTCTGAGTTCTAACTCAATTGCACTGTGGTCTGAGAGACTGTTTGTTATGATTTCTGTTCTTTTGCATTTGCTGAGCAGTGATTTATTGCCAATTATGTGGTCAGTTTTAGAGTAGGTGCGATGTGGTGCTGAGAAGAATGTATATTCTGTGGATTTGGGGTGGAGAGTTCTGTAAATATCTATTAGGTTTGCTTGTTCCAGGTCTGAGTTCAGGTCCTGGATATCCTTGTTGATTTTCTGTCTGGTTGATCTGTCTAATATTGACAATGGGGTGTTAAAGTCTCCCACTATTATTGTGTGGGAGTCTAAGTCTCTTTGTAAGTCATTAAGAACTTGCCTTATGTATCTGGGTGCTCCTGTATTGGGTGCATATATATTTAGGATCATTAGCTGTTCTTGTTGCAGTGATCCTTTTACCACTATGTAATGTCCTTCTTTGTCTCTTTTGATCTTTGTTGCTTTAAAGTCTATTTTATCAGAGATGAGAATTTCAACTCCTGCTTTTTTTTGCTCTCCATTTGCTTGGTAGATCTTCCTCCATCCCTTTATTTTGAGCCTTTGTGTATCCTTGCATGTAAGATAGGTTTCCTGGATACAGCACACTGATGGGTTTTGGCTTTTTATCCAATTTGCCAGTCTCTGTTTTTTGATTGGGGCATTTAGTCCATTTACATTTAGGGATAGTATTGTTATGTGTGAATTTGATACTGTCGATTTGATGCTACCTGGCTATTTTGTTGGTTAGTTGATGTAGATTCTTTATTGTGTTGATGCTCTTTTACCATTTGGTATGTTTTTGGAGTGGCTGGTACTGGTTATTCCTTTATATGTGTCGAGCCTCTTTCAAGAGTTCTTGTAGAGCAGGTTTGGCAGTGATGAAATCTCTGAGTACTTGCTTGTTCTCAAAGGATTTTATTTTTCCTTCACTTATGAAGCTTAGTTTGGCTGGATAGGAGATTCTGGGTTGAAAGTTCTTTTCTTTAAGGATGTTGAATATTGGCCCCCAATCTCTTCTGGCTTGTAGAG